AATAAATGCAAAACATGTTTTTAGGATAAAATAATTCATTTGCAAGACTGCTTTTTGTTCTGTCCCTTCCATTTCATCCTTACAGCGCATATGGATGAGCGGGTTATGAACTAATGTGCATGTGTGCACATAGGCAATGCAAGCTGCAGTTACATTTAGGGGGAAAACACCGTCTGTGGCGTGTGGTGCCATTACAAATACTATAATCAAAACATTTAAACACCACTGAAATTGTCAAATAAAATAATAATTATTAAGTATCAATTGACACAAGATTTTTTTGGTCCCTTACTTCATTCATTGTTTACTTTTTGATAATATTGTTTGTCTATGTTTTTATGAACACAGAGAAGCTGTATTGGTGCATGTGGACTCACACTGCGGTACATGCGTGTGGGGTGGGGAAGGACCAGTCTATGGACGCTCTGATTGGTACAGACGAGGATGATGACGTTGTTGAGCGTTTCCTGGACAGCGACCCCTCCTGGCAGCACGGAGCAGTGACTGAACTTGAGCTTGATGGCGTTGTTCAGGAGGTTCATGTCCAGAGACATCTCCACTAACTGCACGGTGTCCCCACATGTCGACCTGAAAACACAGAGGCACAATTTTATTTCTGAAAATATTTGAATGAATGAATGAATGAACTTATTTTAAACATGCAAACTATAAAACAGAAGACATGTCACAAATAAAAACACTGCAAGAGCAGTCACAATCAAAATGCTCGCTAGACATGCAAAGGCCACTTTTTTTGTTTTTCTCCAACTGATCTCCAGGAACATCCATATCTGAGAGGTTGAAATCCAAACTTTTACAGATGAAGAACCCATGGGCACATAGGGAGGGCATATGACATACAAGGACATTTTCAGAACATGTTTGTAGTGGTCTAAATAACAGGGTTAGCAGCCTTTACACAAAAGAAGACCCCATGCAATTGCAGGATAAAACTAACAATTTTGCTATAACCTGGCACAATCATATTTCTGCTTTTGTGTTGGTCATTGATTTAAGAGCATCTCAAGTAAACAACTAAACAAAGAGCAACCATTCAAATTAGAGCCCGACTGATATATCGGTTGGCCGATATTATCGGCTGATATGGGCAACTTTAGGCATATCAGCTATCGGCCGATATGCTTGCTGATAGGGGCCGATATTTCATGTGGGCATGTTATACCTCGTTATAAAGCTTAGACTCTCTACATTCTGTTCATTTAATCCAATTTACAGACAGATAAATGTCCTAATATGTGGCTCCACATCAGTATTTATCTACGGAGTCATTTGTCTGTGTGTGTCCGTACTGTCCTTGAACACACCACAAAGTCGCGTCACTCACGTGTGTTTGTTTACACCTGCAGACACAGATCCAAACACTGAGATTATATTCTTTTTACGGACAATCGGTTTGTGTCTGGATTAAAAGGACATTTATTAGTGCAGACTTGTGATGTGAGAGGAGCCTGTATGAGCGGTGAGTGTTGGAAATATGTCGACTCTGAAGCTAGTTTTAGTCATTCGTTATGGGTTAGCTGCTGTAGCTCCCGCACATAAACAGACTGTTTTCTATTGGTCTGTTCTAAAGTGACTATATTGGCCGTATATTTGCTACTGGACCTGCACTGATATGTAAATAAGATGTGAATAGAGGTGTGAATTATGACATTTGCGCATATAATTAATTACCGCGGCGTGCACGTATTTACGGCTAAAGGCTAATAGCGCTACTTTCTTTACAAGTTATGGGTCCGTCGCGAACGAAATGACTCTTAGAACCGGCTCTTTAAAGGGAACGACGGGAGCCTGATCCTTATTGGGAGCCGTGTTTTCTCTTTCTCTCACTTTTTTTCCTCTTCACACCGCGTGCAGATTCGTGGTTTGACAGCGGCAGCGGCTAAAAACGAAACTTTGAGAAATTTGCGTGTACGTAGGATTAAAAAAAATTAAAATAAAAAAAAACGAGCATATTTGACTGTAGTTTAGCATAAAATAAATAAGTCCCGGTTTAGTCCTTTTTCAGTCCTGGTTTAGACCTGGTTCAGTCCTGATTCAGTCCTGCTTTAGACGTGCTTTAGTCCTGCTTGCAACAAAACAATCTGAAGAGCCACTTGGGAGCCAAAAGAACCAGCAGCTTTTAGTGAGCTGAGCCAAAAGAGCCGGTTCTCTAAAAAGAACTGGAATACCCATCACTAGTGTCTAGAATGTGATGCAAAAATGCCATTAAGTCAACCTACTGTCTGTAAATATCATGTAAAGAGGCAGAATAACAATAAATGTTGCCTAAATAAACCCAATTTAAAATCCACCAGAGCCAAACCTAAGTTTTTTAAACAATTCAATATTTACAGTGAATTTTTACATCACTAAATATATCGGTGATTATATCGGCTATCGGCAGCTCCAACTTCCATTATATTGGTTTCATGTCGGCCACAGCAAAATCCATATCGGTCGGGCTCTAATTCAAATTATAATTCTCTTACTGTGGAAAATAATTCCAACCCTTATATCAGAATTAAAGCCCCACAGTGTAAGTTTTTAACAACAAAATAAACAATGTGTTTTTGTGTGTTTATTGCACTGACAAACGTGCGTCCTTACCATAAACTGTATAAAGAAGTTAATTAAGGAAGTGTGATGTCAACCACACCACAATCACCCTGAGACAACCTGACAGAGATATGACCACCATTCTGCATCTTTGCTCTGGTTATATGTAAATGTATTTAAAAGCGACTCACCAGTGAATGAACCTGTTGCTTGTGACTGACAGGAGTTTTCCGCTCTCTTCGTAGTAAAACGCACCAGCGCTGTCAGGGAATTTACCACCGGGAAGAGGGTTCAGACCTGAAAATAGGCAGGACACAAGGATCAGAGCGTTGGTCTGTGCTTCCAAGGGTCAGAGGCTCAATCACAGCAGTAGAACAGGCTAAAAAAGAAAACATACTCTTCCTCTCATAACATAGGATTGATTTTGGAAAAATATCCAACTGCTATTTCTCTGATAAACATTGCAATTGCGAATAAATGTGCGATTTGCAAATACAATTCTGTTCAAATCTGACATTTTAAACATGTCCACAAGAAATGACAAAAAGACATATGAACTTATAAACTGACAGAAGAATCACACTGGGAAGTAAAACTTAATTTAAATTTTTTCACTTAAAATTATACCAAAGACCTTTTCCCAGAAACATATACCCATCAGTGTTCCCCATTAAAAGACGAAAGACTATGGGGCTCGGTGATGGGTATGGGGAAAAAATGTATCATGACTTTTTTTCCTCATATGGATAGACCTTGATTTTTACTTCCATTTTATCTAGCCCTTTCAAAAACAAGAAATATAACAAACTTATAAAAAGAGATTACACTGATCAAAGAATTACCTTAAAAATGAAGTATAGGCATTTAGTGGCATTGGTACTCCACAATTTGAATGAGATTTATCAAATCAAAACAACTTGTGCTGACATGATCTTAACTCAATTGATGGAAAACAATGATAAATAATACAGACTTCTAATATTTGCCATTTAACACAATATAAATTCTTTCTACAAAGTGTGCTTCAAAGCCACATGCTTTGACTGACAGAGGATTGGCCATAGACTTCTTGATTCATCGATCATTGACGATAAGTCATGATTGATCTCGCGATCCTTTGATAAATGAGCTAGCCCTACCCCTAATATTTGCCCACGTACTCCAACAAGCTGAGCAAAAATTAAAAATGACACTTATTGAAGGTTGTATTGTCAAAAAAAAAAAAAAAAAAAAAAAAAAATATATATATATATATATATATATATATATATATATATATATATAAAACATCCTGATGAAATGTTTTCAATAACATAAAAAAATTACTACCATACCATGCTACCATAATGTCTAAATGCCTGTGTAGGAGACACCGACTTTCTAAACACCCAAGTAACTAGTAATGTTATATCCTTGTCTTGCCTTGGAACAACAATAAAGGAGTAGTGCCACTCAGCAAGTTCTGAACAACACTGTAAAAGAGGATGAGTACTACTTTGAGGTGAAGATACTGAAATGAATACAAAATGAAGTCTAAACGTGAGTATTTACACTCCCACACAATTACTGAAGAAACAACACATTAGAAAATAACATTTGCATTTTAAGGATTTGTTAGACAGTATTTTGATTTCGTTTATAACCTGCTTTGACTGACATCTGATGCAGTAACATTAGAGTTTACAGCTCGTGGCTAAAAGCGTGTTAGCTCCCGGTTAGCCGCCAAAACCTGCTTTAGCCTATATACTACTTATTTTTCCGTCTGTGTCGGATCTAACCCCGCGGGTGGACAGTTTGAAAGCGGTAGTTTTGTCTCGTACCCAGGTTCACTGTCACTTCTCTGTAGCGGTACTGCGTTTCTCTCTCAAAGCCGCAGATCTCGATAAAGCTCCGCTCCAGAGCCGCCGCCATCTTGTCCTCCTCATGGAACTGCGTGCGTGGTGACGTCAGAGGAACACACAGGCACTCGCGGGGTCAACTTTCAAACTTTTAAAGATAAAGGGTAGTAGTAATTTACTTTTGGGTCATTCCACGCCATTTCACCAAATGGCCCACGCTCTTCAAAAAAAATTTGAAAAAAATACCAAATAGTCCCTTACTATCATGTACCCACCCTGTGAAATTTTAGTGATTTTCGATCATTATCTTTCAAGTTACAGCTCATTTAGTGAGGGGAGTATGTGTCAATTTACGGGCCCAAAATCGCATATTTTTTTTCTCAGCCGTTTTCACAGGTCAATATCTCCGTAAGTATCACAAATAGAGACCTGAAATTTTGAAGGCTAGTACTCCTCTACGAAAGAGCATTGTAGTCAGTGAAAAAAAAAAATCTGGAGGGGGGAGGGGAGGGGGGATTATCTCGTAATTACGAGATACTATCTCGTTATTACGACATAGTATCTCGTAATTACGAGATAGTTTATTTTCCCTACTAGTATGGAAGATAAGTTGTTCCATCAGAATTTGAATTTTAAACGGCTCTGAATTTGTCTTTGTGAATTATTTTACTCTGAAAAAGAGCATCTGAATTTTTTTTCTTCTGAATTTGAAGCACTGAAATTTCAGTGTATAGTTTTCAATGTGTTTAAAATTTCAATTTTTTTAAAATTAAAAATCATCTATAAAATACTGGATGTATTTTTTTTCAAACCCTCAAATACGACTGTCTAAATTCGCATTGTAAAATACGATGAAGAAAAATGACCCAGCCAACATCCGGGATACTGAGGCATTTGCAATCGCTCTTGCAGAGTCGATCTAACTTCTAGCCAATCACGCAACGGTATAGTAGTCACGGGAACAACCACAAGTCCACGGACGGAAATGGCAGCCGGTGGCCGCTCTTCGGTAATTATGTTCATATTTTCTAACCTTTTTCGAAGCTAATACTTATAAAATCTTACAAATAACAATTGCTTGACAACATTAATGTAAATGCTTGTACTCGCATAATTGGCGATTTGATAGAAACAACATTAATAGCGCTAGTTAATGCACTGTCATGCGCGCCCACCATAGACCACATGGCCCGCGCAAGTCAACCTGTTGTAAGGAAAAACACCACTAGGGGGCGATAGCCGCTACGGCTAATATGAAATACTGTCAACAAACATGGCAGCGCCCTTCTTCAACGATTTGATAGCATTTTATGTAGTGAAATAGAAAGAAAATACAGTGTTCTATGTCACTTATAGTAGGCTAATAAATATATTTGGTAATTTTACAGGATAGTCAGGCTGAAATAGTGCAGTCAGCAAGGCGTTTATTACATTTGCTGACTTCGTCTGAAAGACAGTCAAGTGCAGCAATTCAAGCCTCAAGTCAAGATAACGGGTAGTTGTTCTTAGAAATGATATCTTTCTGAAATGTTCAAATATTCACTAAAAATATGACGCAGAGTTGATCAACAAGGAGGGATACGGGACCATGACCGTCACTTTGTACCAGCTACTCGACCTACTCTTCAAACAGAAATGACAAGGTGTGAAATGCTAAATATGTCTTATCTTTATCTTTGGTTATTATAATAATAATTATTATTATGATGTTTACTATTGAAATCTGCTTATCACTCAGCATCTGAGCCCAGTCCATGGACCTTGGGGTGTTGAGAATTTATTTCATGTATTATTATTTTGTAATATTTAAAGGTTTATAGAACCCATTAATTACTAATGATTAATGTCATAAGACCGCAGGTGTAAACAAGGCTTTTATAATCTTTTAATTTATTTTGGTCTTAACTAAATGTATGTTTTGTTTCTTTTTTTCTTTTTCTTTCTCTATTAATTGTTTATTGAATGTTCTTGCGTTCTGTTTTTGTAGAACTTTTCCAGGCCTTTTTACAAAAGGAAAAGGGAAACGACGATTTCCTGCCCCAGTACTTATTCCGGCCAAAAAGTGCAAGCTGCTGGAAGTGTCTTTTTACCTCCTTCCAAAACATTGTGACAGGACACCCAGTGAACTTGAAAAAGTCACACATATGCAAGCAGGATTGGGCCCCAGGACTGCTCATCTAGATGAGAGCATCACCCATGAGGAGGTTAACTATGAAAAGACTCATGTGCACTCACTTCTTATTTTTGTTCTGAATGATGAATTTTGAATATTAAATATTGATTAATTAATGTACTTGCTCTTTCTGTTTACAGCTATGTGATGCCCTCAAAGCTTTATATCCAAAGTTGCGCACACTGTCTGGTGGATGGCTACTTTATAAATCTACAGGTACAAGTTTAATTGAATTGCTTGACAAGGTCTGAATGTTACTAAAAGTATACTGCCCAGTCATTAAGTATATACACTATTTACTTCATATATAATAATCTAAAATGTATGCAATATAAGTATAAAAGTATTGTGTGTTTCTACAGGTGGATGGGGTAGCCGTAAGCTCGCCCTTGTGTCACCCGATGATGCTGGGTATACAGGCAGATTGTTGAAATCTGCTGCACAAGGGGGTAAAAAACTGTTCATAGTCCCACTTCAGGAGGACCTTGATACAAGTCCACTGGAACTAACTGATGAAGCATTCAAGGGCATGGCAAAGGCCATGTGCCAGAAGTGTGGAGTAGATGTTCCTCTGCAGCTTCTTAAGGATCACGTCAACTCATGCTCAGTCATTGAAATTGATGGTGAACAGCCTGTTGAGGATACAAGTCATCTTGTTGGGGAAAAATGTAGGTTTTGTCTTTACAACTGGAACAAGTCTTAAAGCATAAAGAATTTGATGATGAACGACACTTTTGCCTATTATAATTTTGATTTAAGTGCAACTCCTATCTTTTGTCTTTCCACTGTTAATAGCTGTGTCATGTCCAGTTTGCTTAAAAATGTTTCCTACTGACTGGATACAGGAACATGCATCCACATGTGGAGAAAGGTATTGATGATCTTTTTAGTAAATTGATCCATTATTGTATTGAATGTGATGATGTTTAGTAGCCTTATTTTCAGTCCAGTGACACCTGCAGTCACATCTGCCACAGTGACATCTGCCAAAGTGACCTATGAGGAGGACCATGCAGCCATTGCTGGAACCTCCACATCATCTGCTACTGTTACTGGGGGTAGGTAGTACCACAAATTTTGTCATGCTGTGAATACGTTTTCATTTGAGTGTTTAATGTCTTATTTGGTAATTGTTGTACATTTATCATCAAATCAAATGTACACTATATCGAAATCAGGTATTGCATTGTTTTATGCTTTCCTTCTAGACTGGTTATCTTTGAGTGATCCAAGGGAGGCCATATCTCAATATGCAAAACATTTTCTCCAAAACCATGCAATGGACAGCCCATTAATTCTCAGCATGGACATTAGAAAAAGTCTTACAGAGCAGGACATGGCCCTCATCTCCTTTTATAAGCAAAAAAATGTGGAATGGGCCCGTCCACTGAAATGCAGACTTGAAGGTAAAACCTAAAAAGTTAAAGGTTCTTAGAAATGAGTTTGAGTATTTATTTATTTTTTTGTTATAGGGGACACAGCTGTAGGACATGGTGTTGCGCGCTTTTTCTTTTCCACGTGCATGGAAAAACTGAAGTCAGGTTTTCACATACATTTTGGTATGTTCCAGTTTATCCATTTGGCACCATGCACACATATTCCCATATGGATATAGAATATGAAATATGGATATGGAAACAGAGACAGAGAGAGAGAGATAAAAGCTTTTGATTTGTTGTGTCCCATCGTTGTTTTCCATAGCAAACTGCAGTGTTACTCGACTTTTTGAAGGGGAGCCAAGTCATCTTGTCCCATCAGCTTCACACTTTCTGGTTGAAAGCGACCTCTTCCTCATGGCGGGGAGGATGATGGGTCACTCCTTCCTCCACGGAGGACCTTGTCTGTCTGGCCTCAGCCCTGCTATTGTTCATGTTCTCCTTGGAGGCACTCCTGAAACGTGTACAGTCACCCTGGAGGACTGTCCTGACTTGGACATCCGTGACACCATCAGGCTTGTATGTTACTCCATCTTTTCACTATTCACCATACCCATTGTTTATTTTTGATGAACTCGATAATGTTTTAATCTGAAACCAAGTTGTGGATTAAAGAATACAGCTTAGTTAAAAGTTTATGTTCTGATCTGGTACCATCTCTTCAATCAGTTGGAAGGTGAGTCAAACCTGTCTGAGAAGGATAAAGTAGAGATACAGGATTTGGCTTTTGCTTGGGATCTTCCTCCCCTGACTGAGGGCAATCGAAAATGGCTTTTTTGAAAAACTTTTAATTCATGCTGTAAGTATTTCTGGTCAAGTAGTACTTTTGGATTTATTGAAAAATTCTATGAACACATGTACATTCCCCTCATTCTCTCTTGAAGGTGATTGGGCGAGTAATAAGACAGATTAAGCAACTCCGCCGGGGACTAAAAGAAACACCAATATGGACCATGCTCACCCAGAGACCAGACACAGTAGATTTGATCCTCCCCACAGAGGAAGCAGGGATTATCTGCCCTCAGGTGAGTTTGTTGCATATATTTTTATAATATATTGTCAAAGTATCATGTTAGTCTTGTAGAAATGCTGCATATTTTTTTCATGTGCCATTTTTAACACAGGTTCTTCTGCAGCGAATCAAATGGCCACAGGCAGATGATGATGACGATGACTGCCCAGTTGACACCAAATGTCGTGTGTCTGGCTATCTCCGGGAGTTTATCACTACAGGTAGGCTGCTCATGTGGTCTTATTTATAAGAAAAAGCTACAATGGTATACAGGATATAGTATCTCATCATTTTTAATTAAATATTTAAAGGTCATGTACTTCCTCTTTTCTGTAGTAACACCAGCTGAACTGCAAAGCCTAGTCAAATTCTGGACTGGCTGGGAGGTCTTGCCATCGAGTCTGTCTGTAGAAGTGGGAGCAGGAAGATATATTACTGCTTCAACCTGCTACGAGACCCTGCGCATCCCATGTCACTACAAAGATTATGCTGCGTTCCAGAGCGACATGCTTGTTTCTATCTCCACTTGCCATACAGGATTTGGTTTGGTGTGAATTGTTATGTTCTCCTAATGTTAATGTTGAAAAGATATTTTGTCATCTGTTCACATGGAAGCAACTGGTTTGAGTTGCTCAGGCAAGATTTTATTACAAGCTGAGTCAAGGGTTTAGTCTCTCAAATTGTGTTTCTGGTTCTGTCACAGGTTCATTATGAACTGGTTTTGTGCTAACAAAAATTCAGAAGAACAGTTCGTTTGGATCCTTTTATGATTGTTGTGGACAACTTTTAATAATAAACTTACTTACACACAATACACTTAACATTTAACATGTCCACTCATTTTTGACAAAAAATTAAAGGCTATTTATGATTCATTCACAAAGAGAGCAAATGCTCACAGTAAAGAACAGCGGCCATATAAATATCACAGCCAAAGGATTGTGATGCTGCCATTGGGTTAACAGCCTCCTTTAAAGCTGTCAGTTGTTCATCAGTTAGAGGAGAGGACATATCTGGTACCACAATGCCTGCATGCTCATCATGAGGAAGCCCACTGTTTTCCCATTCAATATGGGGCAGGTCCATATCCTAGCAAAAGATAGAACATACTACATGAGCTTTATAGACATTCAAATTTGAATAATTTAAATGTAAAGAGCATGACGAACCTCTGTATGATATGGTCCAGGATTAGAGTGGTGTGTTTGACCCAGAACCCACAGCTGGTTTGGAGTCATGTTGCCTTCAGTTCTCAGTGCGTGGTTATCCCAACCACATCGAAAGGTGTCCAGGTCTTCCTGTAGGCGTGGCAGAAACACGTAGTGGCAACAGAAGAGATGTACAAGACTCCCAATGCTGAGAAAACCGCCCTCTTCAAGGTAGTGGAGAACATCGTAATAGATGCTTGTTACAGCCACCCATAGGTCTCTCCACAGCCTTTCTATGCTGAAAAATAAACCATACACTTAAAATATATGGTCAATTTAAAATGTATATAAATTGTTTAAGTAGAATTATACATACATAATTACATATAACTTATTTTGTGTACTTCATATTGCAATAATAAGAAATGCCATTATTTTTTGCTACTTGAACAATAAATTGCCCCGATATTAATCAGTGATAAATGACAAATAATGATATAGTTAAATTAGAATACTTTACTGGAATACATTTGCAAAGAAACTTGCAGATGACTATTTTTCTGAACCATTAAAGCCTGAACAGATAATAAATTCTAATTAAGATCTAGGTTTACACCTACTCTTCTATTTTTCCAATTTTACCGTTGGTTGTGTACACTTTTCCCAGAAATAAAGCTGCTCCTTCCTGTTCCACGGGCTGTGAACATGAGACGGGCAATATCCACGTTTTCCACCCCCTGATCACCACGAACTCTAAAAAATATAGACAAATATTCACATAAATGTTGAAAGAGCAGATCAAGTAGTTTTGAATTAAACAATTAAGTCAAAATTAGAAACAGTATAATGAATGGGAGCATGTACCTTTGAGGAAAACCATACTTGTCAACTGATCTGTTGAAGAAAGCCAGAGCTGTGGATGCAAGGTTGTTGGAGGATGCACCCAGATACATAATCTGTAGAATACAAAAAAGGTACTTTATTGTCCCCATAGGGAAATTTGTCCTCTGCATTTGACCACCACGCTGAAATGACTATTATCAATCATTTAATTGGTTTATTGTCATTGTGATATTAAATCTCAATGAAATTATGTTTAGAGCAGCACAACAACTGCATATGATTCTCAAACAAGTTGCAATTCTGGACTAATGAGCTTACCTTACGGGAAAACCCATCAATCCCTCCAAATATGACAATATTATACCTATAATATAAAATAAAAAATGTTAAAAAACAAATGCAGCAGTATACTAATAATGTTGTAATGTAAAAAGAATACCGGATCAACTTATGGTTCGTATCAATATGCATCAGGAAGTGGGGTCCTGGAACAGAGTAGGTACGGCGATTGATGCAGCCCAGGTTAAGTGTTCGAGATATGACTCCATTGGTGTCAACACGGTGCATGGAGGCTCTCACACGCTCGTACTGCACCCTCAGTCCTCTGGCTTGCAGAAGAGCCTTCACCATTCTATATCCAGAATGAGGCTGCCTGGATATTACCTCTCTCACACATTGGTCCAGTTCTTCGTCTGTCAAGGTGCAGTACTGTGATCTCACTGAGAAACCAAAGTCGCCCATACGCCTGTATAGTGTGCTCCTGGAGATTCCCATGAGTTTGGCTATAGATGGCACAGACAAGTTCAGTTCAAGTAGATGTAGGAGGTGGTCTGAGGACACCACCATTCTCTGTCGCCCAGCTGGTCCTTGTTCAAACTGTACTACTCGAGCATGTGCTCTGTTTCTTTCCTTTTCATGATTCACCAGAGTGTGCAATTCCATTAATGCATTTAATATTTCTGCAGATATGGGTACCTGACTAGACAGAGCATGCAAGAAAACAAACTCCTGGGTGCAAGTGAACTCCAAAAAGTCCAAATCCAAAGGAATACGTTCCAGAATAAGCTCCAGGCGAGACTGAAGTCGTCTCAAAACTTGGTTCAGGAGATCCTGGTAGACATAAAACAACCACTTATTTAAACATTTGTAGCTTTTTACATTGGGCATAATGAAGGTAAATATGTAATCATGTGTTTCAGACAAACAATTCCTTCCAGATTTGAAGGACTTTGTGAGGACCTTTCTCCATTGAAAAGATATAATATTTTAATTTAAATAGCTTTATTTCTATAACCATGAAGGATGGTTGCCATATCTTGAAACCCATGAATAATTAAGTACACTGTAAACTGTTGATGCATAAACGAAACAAGAAATTCTCTGTCTTTGCTGCTGAAATCGAACGCTGCCTCACAACAAATGAATGGTGAAGCAAATCCCTGTTATCTTGACTTGAGGCTTGAATTGCTGCACTTGACTGTCTTTCAGACGAAGTCAGCAAATGTAATAAACGCCTTGCTGACTGCACTATTTCAGCCTGACTATCCTGTAAAATTACCAAATATATATTTATTAGCCTACTATAAGTGACATAGAACACTGTATTTTTCTTTCTATTTCACTACATAAAATGCTATCAAATCGTTGAAGAAGGGCGCTGCCATGTTTGTTGACAGTATTTCATATTAGCCGTAGCGGCTATCGCCCCCTAGTGGTTGTTTTCCTTACAACAGGTTGACTTGCGCGGGCCATGTGGTCTATGGTGGGCGCGCATGACAGTGCATTAACTAGCGCTATTAATGTTGTTTCTATCAAATCGCCAATTATGCGAGTACAAGCATTTACATTAATGTTGTCAAGCAATTGTTATTTGTAAGATTTTATAAGTATTAGCTTCGAAAAAGGTTAGAAAATATGAACATAATTACCGAAGAGCGGCCACCGGCTGCCATTTCCGTCCGTGGACTTGTGGTTGTTCCCGTGACTACTATACCGTTGCGTGATTCGACTCTGCAAGAGCGATTGCAAATGCCTCAGTATCCCGGATGTTGGCTGGGTCATTTTTCTTCATCGTATTTTACAATGCGAATTTAGACAGTCGTATTTGAGGGTTTGAAAAAAAATACATCCAATATTTTATAGATGATTTTTAATTTTTAAAAAATTGAAATTTTAAACACATTGAAAACTATACACTGAAATTTCAGTGCTTCAAATTCTGGCCCCGCCCACTGCTCCGAATTTATAAATAAAAGGCAACGCCCAAATCCGCGACAGAGAGCTGACTTTACCAGAGACTCTTAACCGTCGGTGTAGAGTTATCAAAATGGTGAGTGCCGATGACGTATTTACAAAACAAATGTGAACATGGTGCGTTTCTCGTCTCTTAAATACCCGCAGAGCGACCAAATAACTTATTTAACGTGTTTAGCCTGAACGTTGTTGAGCAAGTTGGAGCTGACGCATTTCAGAGAGCCCGCGAAAATCCGTGAATAACTTAACTGTCCGCCTTCTTTTCTACAATGTCTAGTTTCATATGTCCAAATATGTTACCTTGTTCTTCAGCCAAGAAAAAATACAAGTGTGAGGCCTTGTGCACAGTGTACAAAGCGGCACATATGTTACGGTGTCCAGTGGGAAAGTTTTTCCAGGTGAGAGTCGCTCAATGTCGATGACGAGTCCCCTCCCCTCGTACGGTGTCCTGGTTTTGACAAACACAAATCTGGTCACACTAACCTGTATTCACCTGAGTCATGTCTTTTAGTCCAACAGAAATTGACCGCATCAGCGACACAAGAGCTGTGAGTGTCTGAACTCTTTAACATATGACTATCTGTGTTTACACTGTCTAGGTCAACATTTCTGTGAATTTCCTGTAAATACCAGTTACAGTTTGTCAATATTGTGACGAGATGGTCAGTATAAAGCTGTCAGCTCTTCTTGTACTAGGAGGGGTGACGTGGAGAGATGCTGTGTGAATCAACTTGAATCAAGAGATCTGTACCTGTGTGAGCCTAATAAAAGAGACATGTTTCTGAACACCTTTAATCCTTCTGGACTCTCTTTTAAGGCTCTTTTCAGGCCCCTCCAGAAGAAGCTGACAATTTGGTGACCTGCGACGTGATTGCGATGAAGACTTCTGGAGGAGGCAGGTCCAAGACGTCACTCCGCAAGAATCCCAAAAAAAAGACATTGCAAAAGAGCGCGCTACAAAAAAAAAGGTCAGAATTTCTGTCTATTGAATTAATGTCGAAAAATGTGATGTACTTATTTTACTGGGACTCTTGCGATATCTAATTGAGTGGTAATTTTAAAGGAACTATAAATAAATTAGCAATTGATAAATAATTAAGAATTGTGTTAGACTTCACGTCAAGAAAGTCAAAATAAGTGGCTTTAATGGCCGGAATCGTGTTATAACTTCACGGAAAAAAAAAGTTGGTGAATCAAAAAAAAAATAATAGTATTTTTTTAGGCTTTAAGTAAGATAAA